AAATGGAGGAGAAGGGGGTGGGTAGAATTGACAAAAGAAAAGAGGAAGAGACACAAATTAGATGGCATTTATTAAACATCTACTATCTGTCAGGCACTGGTGAGNAAATGGAGGAGAAGGGGGTGGGTAGAATTGACAAAAGAAAAGAGGAAGAGACACAAATTAGCTGGCATTTATTAAACATCTACTATCTGTCAGGCACTGGTGATATAAAGCTTCTGGGGATGTGAAGACAAAAATGAAACAGTACCAACACTCAAGGGACTTACATTATATCAGTGGAGAAAACATGCACATAAATAATTATAGAAAGGCATATGTATATGTATATATGTGAGGGTATATATACAATGAATTATATATATACATAAACAAATGTATTATATATAAATATAATTATATGTTACATATATGTATTGTATATAGCTACATCTGTATATACATATATGAGAGATTATTTTTATATATGAGAGATTTGTGTGTGTGTATATACATATATATATATATATATATATATACATACACATACACACACACGCACAAATTAAGTAACTTATCTAGGGTCACACAGCTAGTAAGTATCAAGGCCTAGAATCTAACCCAATTATATGTCTGTGTGTATGTGTAGTGTATGTATATGAATATATGCATGCATGTGTATATGTTTCTAAGTATATGTTTATGTATGTATACATATACCATATATACATACATACATACATGTGTGTATACATACATAAAACAAGGTAATTTAAAGTAGTGACCATTACCAACTGTGGAGTTGTAAAAGGCTTCATGTAGAAGGTAGCATCCGAGCTGAATTTTGAAAGAAAAAGTGAATTATAATGAAGAAAAGAAAGGGAGTGTCTTCTATGTATGAGCCAAGGCATGGAGACAAGATGGCAATAGAAGGCAAAGAGAGGTATATTTTGACTAGATAGGAATAGCAATAATAATAACTCACAGTTACATTACATGTTAAGGTTTACAAAACACTTTCCACATAATAACCCTGAAAGGTAGGAAGAAAAAATATCATTATTTCCATTCCATAGCTTAAAAATAGAGGCTCAAATAGGGAAGGTAGATTGCCTAGAGTCATACAATTAATGAATACAGGAATCAGGGCTTGATCCTGACTCCAAAAGCAGAGCAATGAATGCCAGAATCAGTAGCTTCTACTTTATTCTGTAGGCAATAGGAGCGACTAAAGGATTTTGAGGAGTTACACAACTGTAATGGTATATTAGCAACATTCCAGGAACAGTCATATGAAAGATAATTATATTGACTGGATCTGGAAGACTATTTAGAAGGTTATGACAATATGTGGTTGAGTGAAGAGACAGATGGACCTGAGAGTCAGGAAACCTGGGTTGGATTCCAGGCCCTGATACTTACCTAGCTGTATGACCTTATTATTTAATTTCTCTGTTCCTCAATTTCCTCATCTGTAAAAGGGAGATAATGATCTCTCAGTAGATGCCTCACAAGGTTGTTGTAAAGAAGTGCTTTGTAAATTTTAAAGTCCTATAGAAATGGGAGCTATCATTAATATAGGTAAGAATAAAGAAGAGACTGAACCAGAGCAGTGGTGACCTAAGTGGAAAGGAGGGGATGAATGTGAGAGATATTGCTGTGGTATTGTTGTTTGAATGGGAAGGATGGGGGAGGTAGAGAGAAGAGCCAAAGGTAACACCCAGGTTACAAGCCTGAATGACTGAGGAGATGGTGTTGTCATCCATATAAATGCAGAAGTCAAGAGGTGGGGTAGATTTGGGGAGGAAGTTGATGAGTTACTATTCAGACATTCTGAGGTGCTGTGGACATTAAGGTAACAACATCCAACAAGAATTGAATACATAAAACTAGAACACTAGAAAAGTTTGGAAAGGAGTTACAGATTTGGTATATACATATAGAGAGAGAGAGAGAGGTAATAATTGAAGCTTTCCACAATCTGACTTCCAACTAGCTTTCCAATTTTTTTCAAATTACTCCCTATCATGTTTTATCCAAACTGGATTTCCAATGTGAATGCCATACACCCTCCCACTTTTGTACTATTTGTCAACACAATTCTTTGAATACATTTATTCCTTAACTATAACTCTTGGAACCTTAGCTTTTTTCAAGGCCCTTCTCAGGTGCCATATCTTACATGAGCTTCTTCTGAGCACTCCAGTTTTTAGCACTCTCTTCCTAAAATTACTTTGCATTTCCTTATCATGTCTGTATACTTCTTATCTTCCCTAACCACCAAAGTCGAATATATAAACTCCTGTAGCTTCAGAAGAAGAGTGCAATGGGAATATCTCCAGTTATTCTCAGAAGATAGATCTAATCAGGAATCACTGAAATTTGGGGAAAAAAACACAGGTGTGATGAAGGATAGGCAGAAACCTGAAGGTCCGCCACCTAGGTATCCTTACTTTGAATGATTGTTCAGGCAGTAGCCTATAAGGAGGAACCATTATGAGAAATTATAAATCCTTCCCCAAACAACTTCCTTCTCTCAAGCCTAACACCTCATATTCATTGAAAGGAGAGAATTTCAGAATCAAAGGCAGGATCAGAGGGAGGTCAGAGGATAAATGAGGCATATTATTCATTGGTGCACCTCTTCCTTCTCTGCTTTTATTTAGGACTTTCCTAAGAGAACCTGTACTTAATGATGAGCTTCCAGGATGCATAATTACTGGAAAGGTGTTGATCAAACCCAGGATGGAGACAGTGAAGGAAAACTCTGTAGTGTTTGAGAATACTCCAGAAGAAGAACCCATTGACATAATTGTCTTTGCCACAGGATACACTTTTGCTTTTCCTTTCCTTGATGAGTCTATAGTGAAAGTTGAAAACAACCAGGCCTCTTTGTATAAGTATGTATTCCCTGCACATCTGGAAAAACCAACCCTGGCTGTTATTGGCCTCATCAAGCCTTTGGGATCCTTGGCATGCACATCGGAAGTACAAGCCCGATGGGCCACAAGAGTCCTGAAGGGTGTGTAGGTGGAAAACATGGGTGGGCAAAGGGGCAAGAGGTGATAAAAGGGAAGATGGTAGGAGGGCAGGGTGGTTTTCAAACTTTGTCTAAGTTGAAATGATGGCTGATTGATTTTAGAGACTAGAAATCTTGATAACTCACCAGTTCCCATTTAAAACAGAGAGAAACTCTAAAAGCTGGATTTATATTAGTATTAACCAAGTCACAGGGTAATGATGACTTATATTGTATCTCTAAATGCAAACAAAGTAGAGACTACAAAATACTCACTTTGTCTACCTACATAAAAGTTCATCAGCCATTTTTGTGAAATTAATGGGCCTAATTAAAACATCAAAATGGTGATCTTATTGAAAATATTTTAGTCATACTGCCTGCTTGGTACAGTGATAAGAGTTATTAAGTACTGATTAAAATGTTGATATGAGAGTTAGTAACTACTGATTAAGATGTTGATGTCAGAGCAGAAGATATTGCTCATGTGGTATCCTCAGAGATCTCTCCTTGATACCTGTTATCATTTTTCTCAATGACTTGGATGAAGGCATGGATGGCGCACTCAAACGTGCCAATGATACAAAAGTGTGAAGGGACTGACAGCACACTGGATTGTGAACCAAACCAAAAACATCTTGACAGGCTAGAACACTGGGCAAATCTAATAAGTAAACTTTTAATCAAGTGAAATTTAAAGTCCTACAACTGGGTTGAAAAATCAACTGCACAAGTATAAGGTGGAAAAAATGTAACTTGAAGCAGTTTAGGTTGAAAAACAAAGATTTGGCAGGTTTCATACTACAAACTTAATATGGGTCAACAGTGTGATAAGGCAATAAAAAAAAAGTTACTGTGATTCCAGCTTGCATTAATGGAAACATGATTTCCAGAATAAGAGTGGTGATTGTCTAATTGCATTCTGCCATGATCAGACCATACCTGAAGTCTTCTGGTTACTTCTGGACATCATATTTTACTAAGAACATGGATAAACTGGAGAGCATCAGAAGAAGGATGATGAGAATTGTGTAGGTCCTTGAGACCTTGCCATATAAGAGTCTCTTAAAGGCACTGGGGAAGTTTAGCTTAGCAAAAAGAGGCATGAAATACACCTGGTAAAAATATTTACACTTACAAGAATATACTTACCTGACTTGGCCTCAGAAGACTTTACTGAGAACAGTGGGTAAAAGTTGCAAGGAGACATTTATGCCTGATTTCAGGGAAAAAAATATTCTAACAATTAGAACTATCCACAAATGAAGTGAACTGCCTTGGAAAGTAATGAGTTCCCTCTCATTGGAGAATAATACTGCAGAAAGTTTTACTTAGGTATAGTTTGGATTGCCTGACTCATGAGGTGTTTCCTAACTCTGAGATTTGATGATAAGGGCCAAAGAACTGGTTAGTTGAGTTACATTTTAGTTTTCTGCTATTTACTTTGACATCATATAGACAAAGACATAGTAAGCCAAAGTCACAAGGATTGTGACAACTTGCCTTTGTGGAAAGTTTGAATATCCAGGAACCTGAATCATTGGTTTTGTCACTCTCTTGGGTACAAGAAAAACAGTGGCCAACCTCACTAATTATAAATTGTGATACTTCATATGGTTTGCCCAGAGTTAAAGGAAACTTTTCATTTTGTTTTGTAGGCTTGAATAAACTACCATCACCAGAGGCCATGAGAGAAGACATTAGCAAAAGGAAAGCCAATAAAGCCACCGGGTAGGCTATGTCCCTTAGTTACTTGCATATACTATTTTAATTTACAACTAGAGTTTTCAAAACTTTTCAGTGTTCACAGTAAAGCGTTTCCCTAAAGAGTCAATGATTGGAGTTTTACCCAGTGATGGCAAAAAGCAGTAAATTTCAAACAGAAGGAAAATGGAGCATCAAGAACTCTGGAAGAGTTCTAGGGCAACCGTATTAGGAGCTGCAGGAGAAAGATGAAATAAGGGGACCCAACATGTCACGGCAATGAGGATACTAGATCATCACTATCTACCATGTCAAAGAACTAAGGACTTCAGAATAGGAATAGAGATTTTACCTGGGATTTAATTGGAATAAACAACTCCAAGGTTAGGAAATTCCCTCAACCAAAGCAGGTCAGCACCTTCTCTGAAACTTATGGTTTTGAGAGCTGTATAGAGAAGTGAAAGGTTAAGTGATTTTTCCCAGGAACATAGAGCCAGTCAGAGGCAGAACTTTTAACCAAGGCCATCCTGAATTTAAAGACAGTTCTTTATCCATTATACCAATACTAAGTCCTATGGACCTAGAATTTCAGAATACATGACAGCAGGAGGGATGTCAAAGAAATTAACATCATAGTTTGGTCTGGGACCAGCAAGAGATAGTGCATTATCACCAATCTGGACAGCATAGTCCCAGGGTGGCTGTTTCACAGCTGAGTGGCATATCTCCTCCAGGGCATGATTTCTGGAGGTTTGGTTGGGAGATTAGGGCAGTAGCAGGAAGTACATTGAGGAGAAAGCTAGGATGAAGCATGGTTGGCTCTGGGGCTGGCTAGATAGTTTGACTCTTACCAATTAGAACAGCCCAGCCCTATGGCTATAGTTCCAAAGTAGTGTTTTTAAAAGGAGTTCACTTTATAGTTAGGAAGAGGAGAAGAATTTTGAGAGTAGGAGACATATTAGTACATGTTAGAGTGAAAGACAGATCATGGATATGATTCTGAACTTTAGGAGAAGAATTGTTTTACCCATAATAAGATGACCTTTCTTTTTCCTTTTCCCCTTCTTCACAAAGGTTTGGTTTATACTTCAAACTGGTTTTGCAAACAGATCGTGTCGTATACCTAGATGAACTCTTGTCCTTCATCGATGCAAAGCCCAACTTGTTATCTCTGCTCCTGGTGGACCCACTACTGGCTTTTAAGGTTTTCTTCGGCCCACTTACCCCATACCAGTACCGTCTGACTGGCCCAGGGAAGTGGGATGGAGCCAGGAATGCCATTCTGACCCAGTGGGACCGGACAATCAAGCCAACAAAAACTCGAGTTGTACAAGAGCCTCCAGATACTTTTTCCCACCTACTCAAAGTCTTCAGCTTTTTGGCTCTATTTGTTGCTATATTTCTTATTTTCCAATAGCTGAAGCCCTTGGTTCCTCAGAACAAATGCACAGGGTAGATCCTCCATTAGAGCAGTGCCTTCATTCCTGGGGTCTTTCTCAGAATAACTAACTTGGGGCAGCTAGGAGGTGCAGTGGCCCC